CACATCATGATGCTGCCACCACCATGCTTCACATCATGATGCTGCCACCACCATGCTTCACATCATGATGATGCCACCACCATGCTTCAAACCATAATGCTGCCACCACCATGCTCGATATCATGATGCTGCCACCACCATGCTTCACATCATGATGATGCCACCACCATGCTTCAAACCATAATGCTGCCACCACCATGCGTCACATCATGATGTTGCCACCGCCATGTGTTTGGTGTCCACCGAACAAAGCGTCTATCATTTGATGGTCACATATTTTACATTTTATATTTTTAATTAATCACTTGACTTTGAAGAAAACCCTTAACTTTGACACAAAAAGAGGCTTCGTTTGTGAATTTTTGTCAAAAAAGCCAAATTAAATGAATTCATTTAAGCTCATCATGATTCAATGTTAAAGAGCAATAAAAGGAGGAAACATCCAAGGGAGGTGAATACTTTTAGTAGGCACTGGATATAATAGTAAGCTGCTCTCGAGTTAATGACCATCAACTACTTTTTATAATGTAATGTGAATTACTTGTGTCCACCTTCCACTAAATATTCAGACACCACTAAGCGCTGGCGCTCCAACAGATTACAGAACTTAATAACGACACAGCCGTATATTATCCCCGTCCCACACTGTGTGCTAATTCTATACATCATGCACCGCGTACTTGTGTCGTGTTTCTACAGTTACCATGAATAACCATGAACGTACTTTCACATTTTACAGACAATGATGCAACGTGCGCTCCACTACACATCTACGGAGCTGTGACACTGGAACCGTGCTGCCAATTAAACCTGTTTTTTTTTCCCACAGACTGACACCTCACTTTTTTTTACACCACATCTGTCATCACCACCCTGCATTTCTTTTAATTCCATACAGTTCTGTGCAGTTATTTTAAGCACCTGCAGTGCTGTTAGACAAAAGAGCCCATTAAGCACACATGCAAAAATCAGCAACTGTTTTTTTAAGTGTGCAAACTTTTTTTTTCTTTAATCATTTAAAAACAATTCGACTCAATTTAGTAGTTTCTCTAGTTATTGCACTCACACTGCCTTTAAATCACAATTTTCTGAAATGTCCAAGTTTATGAGCTGTGTTTGCTTGTGTTTTTGTTTTTGTTTTTTTACAGCGTGCGTTCACTAAACGTGGGCTCTTAATCGCACTCATTAACAAACTTCGATTGATGTGAGACCGCCGCTTGGTTTTCAGGCACCTCTCCGTTATATAAATATATACGGGAGCTTTGAGGAAAAAAATCTGAATTTCCTTCCGTCTTAATTATGACTCGAAGGTTGATGTCTGAAACTTGTAATTACGAGAACTCCGATCAGCCACGGGCACCGCGTGGGTGTGCGAAGACAGTTTTCCTTACGTTCCTGTTAATTACGTTGCACCTGTTAAGACTCTAAACGCATCGCCGTCTTTAATAGCGTTTCTTAGCGTAACATTAAGTCTCAACAATTCTCCGCTCACGTTTAACCTGACTGCAGATCTAATTAGTCCACATAAGTGTAACTGTAAGCAAAACTCTCATATGTAGTACAGTCGTATGAGCAAAATAAGAACTTTACCGCAAACGTTGTCGTCAGAAATTGATTGCCAGCAGTGTTAATGTCAGTTTTGAGGGATGTAATTATCGCCATGTTGAGCGGCGGGACCCTTCTATTGCACATGAAAGGGCAATCAGATTTCAATTTGAAGACCGGAGACACATTTTAATACCAGGTGTAAACACGACGCGGTCGAAGGCGTATTGATGCTCGGTGCAAACAGGGTCACAATCGACACGGCAGACGGACCTTTTCAGAAAAAGAAAACGAAGAGATTGGCAGACGCGTAAGTCAAGGTGGAGCCATTGAGTTGGCAACGGGGGATGAAGATAAACATACAGCAGGACACTCGATACATTCAGCGAGATGATTTAAAGAGACGAGCGATGGAGCTTCAGCCACAAAGCTGAACTCCCGTCCTTCACATTTACATCCACGCCAGTGCGCGTACGGACGCCTCGCACAGGTGTGCCGAAAACCGTAGCGCCACATTTCATGCCATCCGGGCCTCACATGTGCAGACACGCCCGCGTGCGATGGCACACTTTATCCTCCTGCCTCTCACCTCCGCCGGTTGCCAGGCAACAGCACACATCCACAGATTGTTTACAGAGCCCAGTAATATAGTTCATCTCAGAGGGGAGGAGAGGCAGAGACGGATGACACAATCTCCCTTCCTCAGATGGAGAGATAAAAAAGAATAAAGGAGGAAAGGTGGTCCGGCACTAATGCGACGAGGCCACTGCTCCCCAGCGTGTGATGTGTTGTGAGAGATGAGAGAGATGTTTTGTGATTTAATACTGTGTCGCTGAACCAGATACATCCGTCTGGATCTGCCGCGTCCGACGGGAAGGCGGGCGACGCCGACGATCCAGCGTTGTGTATCGTCGGCGTTTTGATTAACTCAGATAAAAACACACTTGAACTTTTTTTTCTTTTCAGCTGCTGTGCGATGTAGTAACGATAAAGGCTCCACGGTTCAGCGTTTGGGGAAAGAAATGACGGCTGGACGTAAGCGATGCAGGTAAAGTGTTCCCAATTTTATAGTAGTTTTTAAAAAGTACTATAGAAAAGTCAGTAACAAATAATATGTGCACATTTGCCACCAATGCTTAATTTAAGTACTATGCTGATAAATCTAAATTACATTTAATCAAAGTTTTTACACAAAATTCACCATATTATTTACACTGTGTTTTTTTTGGTGCCATAAATCACATATAAATGTACATAAAATGACAAAAATTATCTGTAATCACATAGGTTATCTTTTCATATCAAGGTTTATCAAATCAAATCAGGTTTATTGTCATGTTGCTGTACATACACAGTAGTACAGGCAAGATGAGAGAGCGTTTCTTCAGGATTATTCAATCAGCAAGTTTTGCAGAATGCACGTCTGGGATAAGACACTAAATGTTCGCTCTCGCTGTCTCCTGAAGGGGGCGCTGCCTCCATGTGCGCCGCCATTTGTTGAACATGGTGAACCTCTTCAGGTCCTGGTAGGTCTTCAGGGGCACAAAGACACAACGATGGTGTGATGATGGTGAAGCTGCAGATGCTGCCCAGAGCTGTCTGTCTGTATTTCCGTCTGGGATGTTGTCATGGAGCCATGTTTCTGTTAAAGCAGACACACAGCAGTCCCTCCACTCTCTGAGGGTTTCTCTCAGCAAACATAACTTGTCCAGCTTGTTGTGGAGGGAGTGGACATTGGAGAGTAGGAGGACGGTCCTGCTGGTCTGGAGGGGTTAGCCTTTAGCTTAGCATGGACCCTGGCTCTCTTCATCTTCCTTTGTTCACGTTCATACTGTTTGAGCTTCCTTCTCTCTCAGGTAACTGCCGGCGTCGTCTCTGATCAGACTCCGTGTTGGTGTAGAATGTCCACATCACAACCGATCGCTGCAATTCCAGCGACGTTCACTGTCCTGATGTTCAGCAAAGTCTCCCGGCCACAAGTTTGCAGAATGAATGTCTGGGATAGACAAGACACTCAAAACTTTCATTGTCTCCTGAAGAGGGCGCTGCGTCTATGCGCGCTGCCATCACCATTTATGTTTATGTTTATATATAGTTTACGCCCATACTATCAATTTAAAGGCAGATCTTGTAATTTTTAGTCTTAATTATTTAAAATATGCAAACTTTATTCAGTACATCCAACATGATGCATAGACTTTTTTTTTAAAGAGTACAAAGACCACATCTGACAAGGTATGAATACAACTCACACTTAGGGAGTCTTCATTTGTCATCACACTCTTGCTGCTGGAGTTCATTGTACTCTCATGGCTGTGTATATTTTCGTACTGTGGCCACTAGATATTTAGTCAAGGTATTTATTGACATAAAACTATCCACATGTTGGGTTGCAACACTGAGAAAAGGCCATTCATTGCTCCTCCTGGGACGCTCTGCAGGATTTTTTTTGTGCAAAATTGGTTGAGATTGTAAATTTTTAGCTGAATAAATTACACAAAACTGTTTTACAATCAGTGGTGGTGTGCACTTTTCTGTCTTCCAAAATAATATTAAAATAATTTAACAATCTTGAGCATGTTTTAACACTTTAATAAAGGCCAAATCTGCCAAAAAATAAGAGAAATGTTCTGCTCCGGTAGCTCTGTCAGATTAGTAAAGGTTTTTTTTCCAATAATAATTCAAGAAAATACATAAAACAAAACTATTTCCCTCCATAAATGTTAGGTTGATCAGTTTGTTGAAGGTATTTGATGATAACTGTAAAATTCTAGAAAAAAAAGTCTCAAAATTTCTTCTTTTTGCACTTGGATTCGTATATTTCATTTCAATTGTAGGTTTTATATTCGGCAGCTATTGCTTCCAGCCATCTCACTGCTTTATTTATGATTTCTGTTTGTTTTACAAGGCATTAAAGGATCGCTAAATGGTGATAAGATAAATGGAGAACAATGGAAGCAACAAACATATTTGTGACTAATTAATAATCAGCAGCAACAACAGTCGGTCCTGTCAACACGAGTGTGAAACTGAGCAGCGCTGTGATTCCAGCAACACGTCCACGAGTCTCAAAATACCACGAGGACGTTTAAATTATGCAGGCACATTACAAGTCAATCTAAATTGTATTCAATTACGTGCCAGTTTCTGTGAACCGACTTGTCATCACGTCGTAAACACTTGAAGCCCAAACAGCTGCACGCTTCACACTACAAACGGGACCATTATCCCCTATTCCACGCTGATCACTGCAGACTCGATGCAGTCTGTTGTCCTGGCACAAGCGGGAGGATAAACTCGGCGCTGTGCTGCGTGACTGAGCTAAAAGTCGGCTGACGTTTGCACTCACATGACTGTGTTGATTCCTGAAAGCTGCTGGAACATCTGAAGACCGCAGCCCACCAGGAGGGCTCGGCGAGTCGGGGGGTAGGTCAGCATCCGCCAGATCACCGGGCCATCTGGAGACACAAGCCAAGGCACAGAGGAAATTCATTTAGAACGCTGCACGACTTCACTGGGAAAACATACGCAGGCTTTAATAGAGTCTCGTTCCAGAATAAGCAAACAAGAAGAAGCGGTGCATAAGTGAAGTCGACATGAGCGTAACAGCAAATTTCTTGCGACAAAGCCTCGGTGATGCGACCGAACAGCTGGCACGCTGTCAAACATTCTTATTTTTCAGCCCACATCAGGGAGGGCTGCACGATGAAGGTCAGAATGATTATTTTTTAACAACACTGAGATTCCAATTATTTATTAATTGTACAGACAAAATATTCTTGATGCACATTTAAATAAACACAGCGTTGACTTTAATGCTATGCTAACTCCTGCTAATGTACAAATCGTTGCATCAAAAGAAGACTAATCCTAATCTCCTTGAGGTGAAATAAAAATAAAATTGTACCCAAACAACTCATCCATAGACACAATTTAACAATTTTCCATAAAAAATTTCATATACAGGCTACGCTAGATGCTAGCTGAGCAGCTGTGCACACAGAAGCCGCTAGTCTCCACTCAGTTACGCTCAGGTGTGACCAAAAATACTTTGAAATGACGAAAATAAAGTGCTTCAACGTCCAATTTGCCAAAGTTAAAAACAGATTATTTTATCTCCATGGACTATTATGCCTTCTTTAGAACTTAATGAACCCCTGGCTAACACTCCATGTTACCGATAATCATTAAGCAAAAGAACTTATTATGGGATTTGATGTGTTTTCTGCATTTAATAGGACTCGTGAGGCTACCTTTAGCAGCTACGTTGCTTAGCTTAGCACAAAGATTTCAAGAGCTTTTCACTCCCACTCCCCACATCTCCCTTTTGACCAGAAGTTCTCAAAGGTGCCTACGAAGGTCAAGGGCTATGACAACCTCTTTGCAATGGAGATTGACCCAAGCCTGGGTGTGGCAGAGCTGCCTGATGAGTTCTTCGAGGTGGACAACATGCTCAGTATGGGCAAGAAGATGATGCAGGAGGCCATGAGCGCTTTCCCTGGCACTGGTGAAGCCGTGAGCTATGCAGAGGTCATGAGGCTAGTAAAAGCAATGAACTTCTCCGTGGTTGTTTTCACCTAATTATCTTTGAATCCACACTGTTTGTACACTTTGATTTGCTTCTTGTGCCTGTTTATTCTGTCTGAACTGGGTCTGAAAAGTGGCGTATAAACACATTTGCCTTGCATGGACTCTCAACTCTCAGCAAGAAAGTGGGTCGAACCGCTTTTTAAAGATGTCAGACGACTCCTTTAACACAACAGGAACCATTTATTCAAACAGGACCCCACATTTTAATAATATCTTTATGATTCTGGCATTAGTGTCGAATCAGAAAACAGGTTCAAGCCTCTGTGATGACCTGCTAAAGTCTTCTTACACAACATGCTGAAGCTTTGTCAGCTCCAACGATGCCGTTTGGTTGCAACTTGCTAACGTGTTGGAAAAACGTGAAAAGAAAATAAGTCTGTTGAGGATCAGCGCCGCACAGAATCTGCCATTTTTTCCCCCTCCCCTCTCTCTCTTTTTCAGATGGTGGCTATCTCAGCGTGGGCCGAAACAAATATTTGAATTTGGCTTTGGCCTGGTGGAGTCCCACTTGGCTCGGGCGAACCGAGCCAGACTGTGATCTCCAGCACACACAGACTCTCCGGTCCTCGGGGAGGAGGAAGTCTTAATGGGATGAGAGGAGGGCTGGACAGGCGTGGAGCTTCTGGGACTCGGAGGGAGACGAGATCAGACAAACGAAAACCCAACGAACCCAGGTGATGTCGGGATGCAAACAGAAGCGAAGTGAAAGCGAGATGTACGCGGCGGCGCATATGAGATGAGACACAGTCGGGCGGATTATTTGGGAGCAGCTGTGTGTGGGAGGACTCTGGACCGGCGAACATCTCCTTTAGCTGAGACAGACCAGACTCTGTAAAGGAGGCCCCCGCTGACACACAAACACACTTAAACCTTCCTTTTGATCGCCGCCCGTCAGACGTTGAGTCCTTTCAAAGCCCAAAACGAAGCTTTTTAACTTTCACCTATTTGTCCTACTTTCACAGCAGACGCCACATTTCGCATCCTTTTAAAGAGATTAGAGGCAATTTTCACAACTTTTTAAAAAAAAAATTTGCTTCAATTTAACATCGTGTCCGACAGGTTCTGTGGTTTTTTCTAAAGGTTGATGTTTTTCAGCTGGACATGATTAGAAAACTTGTACCAAGGTTCCTTATTTCATCACGTTGCACTTCAGCTGTCAGTCGGTCTAAAATCTACTTTACATTCAAACATCCATTACGATGCATTCAAGACTCCCAGTGTTACAATGCAGCTCAGAATTAAGACACTTTATGCTATTAGATTGCATGTTCACCAAAAACTACTGGAGTTTATCACACAGAAAGCTGCA